ATTTAGGGGGATCCGACATGACTTTTTTCAGTTGGGGCAAGTTTTTTTTAGTAGGTACTCGGGATAATGAAGATGGACCAGGTCCAAGAGATCTATTCCCAACTCGCCCGACTTTGCAGTGAAGGCTTTGTGGTCAAACACGGCCATGGTTTGCCCCCAAGGCTTGCTTAATTTGCAGATTGAGTATAATTGAGTATGATTAAAACTTCAACAACTGTAAGCATGACAGAGTCCCGAGTCCCTGGAGATTTCCTCCTTGTGTCTATTGACTCGTGTCGCTTTACGGGTCGCTTCGCGACGAAGTCGCCGCCGCCCGCACCAGTGGCTCGAGGGTAAGAGGGTACGTAATAGAAGTCTCAATAGTCAGTCTATTTTTGGACCCTCTGATCATCTGATAAACTGCTTTTTGCTTCTACAATTTGCAAGCATTGTTGGATCCCTTGAAACTGTACCTGTTCAAGGGGGTCGACAAATCGAGTGATTATGACACTATACAATATACAGATGAACGCAGCATGAAACGGAAAAAACAGAAGTACCTATAACCACTCTACTTCGGGACCCTCGTGCAGATTGGTTGGTTATGTCTTAGTTGCAACTTGCAAACGTCGCTGGATATATTTTTGGACCCCCTTGAGATTGTACATGTTCCAGGGGACCCCAAATTGAAAACTTGAATGCATTTTGTACAATAAACTATACGGTTGCAACCAGCTGATGCGTATGACACCAACAATCTTTACAATTGCAACCAGCTGATGCATATGATGGAACCATAAGCATGTTTTAAGAAATAGACCGTTGAGAGGAGTCGCTTGTTTGCTTTCATGGCCCCGGTGATGCAAATGATACGATATTGAGAAATATGGTCAGGCAAAAATTACTTTACTTCGAGTGACCCCCACCATGACATTTCAATCATTTGTCTTGATGCCATAGTGAGGAGCATGTTGCCATGGTCGTGAGTATTGTAGTTATCGATTTTGCTTGTGGGTCCTCGGGTTGTGTGTTGTGTGTTTGTGGTTGTGTGTTTGTGATTGTGTTTGTGGTTGTGTGTTTGTGGTTTTGTGATTGTGTGTTTGTAGTTGTGGTTGTGGTTGTGTGTTTGTGGTTGTGTTTGTGGATGTGTTTGTGGCTGTGTGTTTGTGGTTGCGTTTTTGCGGTTGTGTGTTTGTGGTTGCGTGTTTGTGTGTTTGTAGTTGTGGTTGTGGTTGTGTCCTTGTGGTTGTGTCCTTGTGGTTGTGTTTGTGGATGTGTTTGTGGCTGTGTGTTTGTGGTTGCGTTCTTCGCGTTCTTGTGGTTGTGTGTTTGTGGTTGCGTGTTTGTGGTTGTGTGTTTGTGGTTGCGGGTTTGTGGTTGTGTTTGTGGTTGTGTTTTTGTGGTTGTGTTTGTGGTTGTGGTTGTGTGTTTGGGCTTGTTTTTGTGGTTGTGTGTTTGTGGTTGTGTGTTTGGGCTTGTGTTTGTGGTTGTTGTGTTTGTGGTTGTGTGTTTGTTGTTGTGGTTGTGGTTGTGTATTTGTGGTTATGTGTTTGTGGTTGTGTGTTTGTGGTTTTGTGGTTGTGATTGCGTGTTTCTTGTTGCGTTTGTGGTTGCGTGTTTGTGGTTGTGTGTTTGTTGTTCTGTTTGTAATTGTGTGTTGAGGTTCGTGGTTTTATGTCCGGCGGGGAACACTGGGCGCGGATGGTCGTGGTTGGGGTCCGGCAGGGAACGCTGGGCGTGGATGGTCGTGGTTGAGGTCCCGCAGGGAACACTGGGCGTGGATGATTGTGGTTGAGGTCCGGCGGAGGAGGACGAGGAGGGGAGTGGGAGAAGGAGGAGGCGGAGGAGGAGGAAAAGGAGGAGGAGAAGGAGGAGGAGATGGGGCTGACATAAAATCTAACAACCCTCACCTGACAGGTGGGGAATGAATGTGAAAACCATATGTTTTTCAATGTCTTCTTCTCCCGCTCCCACGCCTCTCCTCTCCCACACACACGTCATGATGCAAGATATGCATTTTCGTTCCCAGCTAAAGCTGTCCATCGATGAACGCGAACCACCATTGTCATGGATTTTAGAGTCTTGCTGGGGTCGCCTGGAACATGTGCAGTTTCAAGGGTGTCGAAAATATATCCAATGATGCTTGCAAATTGCAAGTAAGACATAACAAAAAACAATTTGCAAGAGGGTTCCCCAAAAGGTGTGACTATAGATCTTAATTTTTTTGTTCATCCACTTCATGCTGCGTTCATCGCCAAGTGTTGTCCCGACCATGCACATCGTATATTGTATTGTACATAATCTTTTTTCCGGCCCCCTCGAACATGTACAATTTCAAGAGAGTCGAAATATGGATCCAACAATGCGTTCAAATGTTAAACAACTACAGTGATTATAGAAATTTGGTTTACCCGCTCTCTGTCGCAAAGTCGGCCCGAACAACAAAACAACAATGCGTGTTCATGACAACGCACCAATTCTCGAGCAACCTGATGGTGCCGTGCAAGTCACTAGTTCTTTGGTAAGTGGATTTGTTTTGACACATTTAGCATGACATTCAGACAGCAATGTCAAAATGGAAAGGAGACGTCCTGCATATTCTGGATATCGTCGACTTGAAAGCTTGATAAAGAGATCCTTTTGTGAAACTCATTTCTGGAGGCTTGGTACATCCCCCTTTTCCCCAAGAATCACAGGAACGATTCCCGCACGTCATGCAAAAATTGAATCAGAAATCCCCACCCCAGCACCTTGACCTCATTTCGTCTTCGGCTTTCTGAAACACCGACCACGATGCCCAGGCCGAGGTGCCGTCGCGAAGGACCCGGATTTGCTGGTGCCGTGGCCCCACGAAGTGATGGGCGAGGAGTTCGAGGAGTTCCCAGCCTGGCCGCATGAGATGTGATGGCCAGGAAGTCCGGTATCATGCAGATTGTAGACTCTAAGACTCTAAAATTAATAAATCCCCCTCCCACATGAAGAGTTTTGTAATCGTGGATGGGGTCATTGGTCAAGAGTAGTATATAGATATTACATATATACATAACATGGGCACGACGGAATATTGAACCATCGGAGTCCAGATCTATTCCTTCAGGGAAATTGGTGTTCATTTCGGACACGATCATCGCTAATCGGTGGTTGATCCCCAGTGGCTGGCCTGCAAGGAGGGCAGGAGATCTTTGGACAAAGGTGCATATTGGGTAAGAGGATGGAAGAGGTCTGCCACACCACCATGCTATCCTTGGAGCTCAGAATGAGAAAGGAATTGTATGAAGCTGAAGACGTATGAAGGTTGGTCAATCCTTAGAAATCATCTACTGTATATCACGAAAGGTAGCCTGGTAAGGACTAGCTTGAGTTTGCTTTGCGAAGCAAAAGGGTTAGCTTCAATAGCCTGCTCGGGACCAAATATTGATATATCAACTCTATTGACCCCCCCTCCAATGTGATGAATAATTTATTAATCAAATTATTTTGGTGAACCCCCCCTCGTTAGGTCCGTTCACTGGCAGCAACAGCAGAGTCTACAATGAGGTTGTGCAACACGGCTTCGACGCACTGCGTGCGTACAGCTCTTACACACGCCAGCGTTTTCACGCCGCAACATTTACGCAAGCCAATGTTCACGCACCATATTGCTCTATATACACAAACTAGCATTGACGCAACACAGCCTCTACGCAAAGCCGTGTTAACAAACCTCACCACACGCTCTAGCAACCTCTCCGTCGAGCGCATGACATACGACCGCACTTGCGCAGCACAGTTTGGCACCAGGCAATTCCTACACACCACGTCTCTCACATACACCAGTGTCGACAAGCCCGCACCACGCTACATGTTGTAGTAGCCCCTACGACAAAAGGCCCTCTTTCACATACCGCACTTCATACACCTCTCATATATTCCTGGTGCCTCTCTACTACTTTTCGTGTTTCCCTGTCTCAAGTATCCTTTTGGACCCCCTCATCCTAAACATCCACATCTCCAGCAGTCAAGACACGTTGACTACTGTAGACGCCCCAAAGCGGGCAAAGGAGAAAAGTTTTGAAAGAGGTGAACCCGCTTACGAATCTTATTGTAACATGAGCATGATCCAATGACACAGGATGACCCAGAAGCTTCTTTGTGGGTTGCCAGATGTGATGTGCTTTGTTTTCTGTTTTGTTCCAGGGAGTTGTAGACATCATGCTGTGCACTTTTGGAAAGTCAGTTTCAAATTCAAAGAAGTGGTGAGTTGCCAGATACCGGACTTACGGTTTGACACATCCATGTATTTTTGGTCACAGACATTCTGAGATGTTCTGTGCAATTCGGATCGTTGCATTAGGACTGCATGCCGAGCAACAAGGCTCGGGACATTCATTACTCAGCTTGAGCATCCGTGATCTAGTCATGCCAAAAGGAGCCGATCCAGAGTGTGATTATTCCTTGGCATACTGGTGTATGGATCAATTCAGGCCCATACTCCGATGCCAAAGACGCCCAGCCAACCTCGAATCCCACCACCCTCAGCATCCCACTGTCAGGTGATGGTGCCTTCCAATTGTTTCCAGAATTTGTTCATGGACCATCAGACCAGAAGCCATGGTGTTCACGGTGAAAACACCGCCAAAACGATAAGGTTTCCCCCGTAGATTGTTCCCCTTCCTCCAGTCCTTCAACCAACATCTGGGAGGTGTTGTATGATACGGAGATGGTCAGAACGACATCGGCGAACCGAGACCTGGGTCTTCGTGATTCCGAGACCAGTGGCTTGGGCGGGTCTTTGTGATTCCGGGAACCGGTCCAGTCTTGAAGAGTGGGCAATTCCCCTACTTTCGGCTTCAAGATTCTACCAGGGCCATGTAAATGGAGTGGTGAATGGACACCCCTGACACCTCTAAGGGGCTATGATGAACTTAGCGTGCCTTTCTCATTCTCATGGTTGCTCAAAGATTCAAAGGCTCAGTAGAGGTAATTATCCTCAAGACAGATCCGGATCCACAAACTTCTTGGTTCCGCTGCTTTCCACTTCAAAGCCGTTTTTGGGAGCAATGCTGCGCTTGGCAGCGGTGCTTCTATGGCTAAATGTAGGGCAAGCAGGCGCTGAGCTTTGCCTTGACGATGGTGTGCCAGGCAGCCAGCGAAAATACATTCAGGCAGGGTGTAAAGGATGCAACGTGATGTTGTTTGGGGGCTGGCCCCCCCAAAGAAAGCCTTACGAAGGGGTGTCCAATCATAGCCCCTTAGAGACCACCCCTTAGGGTGCCCTGGCATAAAATACATATCAGCAAGCAAATGCAACACCTGAAATCGACCTCAGTGCTCATTGTCCTGATTGAAATACCCTTTTTAGTTCTAAACTAAACATGTGACGCAGCTATATACTGTAGTCAATATTCTCTTCCTGTGCTTAGGATGATTTGGGCAACGACATTCCAATTGGAGTGATTGAATGCGGCTGGGCATCTTCCACGTTTCTCAACGGACTGATAGTGATGATGATTCAAGAGATTCTTGGTTTTCATGCTGTAATCGATCCCCGCGTGGGCGCGAGTGGAGCTTCTCCCATCTATGCATTGGCCGGGTGCGCCGACTTTGACAATGCCAAGGAAAAGAACTGTGGCTCTGAAACAAAGATCCATGTGAGTGTGGACTCCTGGTCTGGAACTCACGCCGCAGCTCAGCAGACCTTTGCGAAGCAAAACCCAACTGTTGCAGCGGAGGATTTGGGAAGTATGGGGTATGCGGGCGAAGAGTCCATGTATGTGAGCCAGGAGATTCTCCATGCTGCCTACAGTGACGCTGGTCTTGCTTTGGACTTCTACAAAAGCTACTTGGGTCAGTCGAAAGGGAGTGAGTTGGGCCAGACATTGCTCTAAATACCTTTGAATTGAGCCGAAAACTGCTTGAGGTTGAATGAAACAAACCAACGAACTGCATGGTTGACCATTCCTGACCATTTGACCATTTATATAAACAAACAAACCAACCTCAAAACAAGTGAGAGATAGTGAGGGAGTATAGCCCCCCACCTCCTAAGATTGTAATTTTCGGCTGTTTGTTTTACAAGAAGAATGCCAATCCACTGTAAAATGTACGTAACATAAAACTATAAGGAGTTGATTAAATGATCAACCCTCATAATCCTGCGCATGGATAACCCCTGATATGGTGTGTCTCACCATAAAGACAACCAAGGAGTGTTGTGTTGCAGCACGCTGGTTATGCATAGAAATCGATGTTTGTACCAGGCACAAAACAACAAAACAATAACACACCGAGTCCAAAACACATTTCAGTAGACAACCAACACATGTACCAACTTTGCTTGTTTGGAATGAGTTGTGCCACGGCTTCATGTTTGCCATTTCCACACAGCACAAATGCCTGCAGTGCACACGAATGTACACTACACATGCTGCTGCTAGTTGAAGCACTGTACAACGATAGGGAAGAAAATATAACGGCAAGGCCAAAAGTGATAAGGAGACAGGCAGAGGGTTTTTTAGACAACCTCACAGGGTTTTGTTTACAGATTGACATCCATGCCAGGCACAATGTACAGGGAGGGTTGCCATTTTACGAAAAGCTCTGGTGGTTCATCACAAGGATGTAGGTGAGGGGCTTTGCCTGTACACCCTGTTGAAGATGGAATTCCAGATAGTATGTATATGTACTGTATATATATATATTAATTCAGATACACACAGTATTATTATGTTTGCTGGTGAGCTGTTGCAGTGCCACCACTACACATCCCTGATTAGTTCATGAGCAGCTAATTGAGCCGGAGTAGCTGATCCGAAATTACTTGATGTTGTGAGTACTACCTCGAATATGCCGTGTGTAGGCGTTGCACACCGCGGAACATGTTTGCATGATGCTGTGTGTTTGAGTTTGGCCGATGCTTAAACAGAGGCTACAACACCACTCATCACGACCCGAAGAGACTGGGCTGCAGCGATGCTCATTTCGTACTTGTTGGTGCTAAGTCTCTTTTTGTTCGAAAGTCTATGATGAAATCCGCGCAGCGAGGAAATACTTCGATTCAATCCACGATGTAGATATCTCAGAATTGGCCTTGTGCAGCGAGACGGTCATGAGCCACCCGAATCGAATGGGAAACTATGCCCGCTTTTCGGGCGACTTGGACGGCGTGGAGCGCCAAGCAGACGGCACATTCATCGCCAAGTGTGCCAACCATCGTTGGTGGTACGCCCCTGCATGCCGTTCCAATGCCTCCACATGCATCCCTGTCTTCACAGGAGGGGATGGTTGGAAATTGCAGGCGATGATGCAGTGGTCGACGGCATATGGAATCCCAGCCGCCATCGCCATCTCTGCAGGATGGTCCCTGTTCGTAAAGCACGTTCAGCTTCATCGGGCTCTTCACTACTGGTGGGTTCCAGATGCAACCTTCATCGACATGTTGCCCGAGCAGCTGATCTTTGCTCGCCACAGTCCTAATGAGTGGCTTGAAGGAGACAAGAAAACGGGCGGCCAAGGAAGCTACGTGTCTAAGATGGTGAGCAAGAACTTGCAATGGAAAGCGGGCCGTGTCCGCGAGTTCCTTGGCAGGTCCAATTTGGCAGGTGTTTCTTTTTTGCACCCTCTTTAGACCTTTGTTTAAACACTGGCCAATGTGATCCTGAGAAAAAGAGCACATGTATATAAATAAAGAGCAAATACGTCATAAAAAAGAGCGCATGTATATAAAAAAAATAACAAATACATATATATATATACACATTACATACTATTACATACTACATAGCAGTAATGATATATCATTGTATTCCATTTTGGCCATTTTGCTGTGAACGGGTCACTCATTTCGTCTTCACCGTGTCACTCTCACAGCCGCCTTTGGCATCTCCCAGCCTCGCACTTGGGGGGTTTGTCTGTTTGAGCTGCTTTGAGCTGCTTTCTTTTACGCAAAGATGGCCAAAGCATCTTTCAGTTGCTTTGACCAGAAGCCGAAGCCTCTTCTTGATGCCTTGGACCATTCATGTTCATGCATGTGCATGGCTACTAGAAATATGACAAACTCGATCTGGAGACCTTCTGAAGGTCTCTCAGCCCACCTGGAAGACCCGCTGGCCCACCTGGCCGGTCGGCCGGTGGACTGGGGTTTGGACGAAGAGGTCGCTGCTCGTGAAACGACGCATCGAGGTTTGTCTCCAGCATCAACTTTGAGCTACCGGAAGTGCAAAGCCTTCTCTTGGAGGTTCAGCAGTCAGGTTCGAGCTACAACGTGTCCTGCAAGTGGATGCGCGAGAACCGAGCCAGGCGACGGTCTTCAACTGGTCAACACGTTCCAACGGTTGTGATATTTCGAGATGTCAAGGGGGCGAAGAACTTTGAACAAACTGTTCATTACTGTTCTTTTTAAGTGGATCTGAAACACAGGAATCCTTCAGCAGAGATCCTGAATCTTTTGCAAGCCACGTGATTCCTTCAAGACTTATGTGTACTTAACTTATCCTGGTGTAGATAAGACATGATAAAACATTGACAACATCAACAACCAATAGGAAACTGGTCATGTATTCGGATTGGTTCATAGTCTATCTCCAGGATGGTTGTTAGCTGTGCCGGGTTTTGTCGTGCTTTTGGTTATTGAGGTGGTCAGCCTGGAAACCCGTGGAGACCAACTGCTACGAAGGCTTTGGCTTGTTTGATGCTGCGGGCAGCTTAGAGGAGAACTCCTTCGGAAAATCAACTTAAAACTTCAGGGTTTCTACTGTTCAAGGCTTCCAATCAAAACTGCCACCCAACACCCCCCAGGCTCATTCTTTCACACGGCGATGCACTTCTTCCGAACCGGCGCAGGACAGATATGTGGAGAGCCGTGAGGGCCTTTCAGACCTCCTGTGCCGAGCATGTCCACCGGGCAGCAGCTCCGAAAAACTGGAGGAGACGAGTCGGTCGGCTGGAGCCGTGCCGGCGGGGGTCTAAAGCTGGAGACCTTGGTGTCGAAATGAAGAAAAGCGACATGGGCTCGACATGGTCAATTGAGTCGTGCCAGTCCATTAAAGGGGGTTGTTCGGGGTTTAAATGACAGCAATTTTTTGGTTTGGTGTTGCTCAACCCGAGAGGAATCGATGCTTTTCGGTCAACAAGCACACGATTCCTTGAGGAACCATCGCTGGTGTTCCAGAGTGCCGTTTTTTTCCGTTGCCGTTTTTACCGTTTCATGCCTTCGTGGGTGGATCTTTGGCCCGGCGAAGGCTTTGGTTCGATGGATTCCTTTCTCGACGCATGTTCCGACTCGGAAGCGTCGCTGGACACCAGCAGACGCAGCAGACGCAACAAAAAGCACACCTACGTCTACGCGATCCGCGGACGTGATCCGCGCAGATGAAACCAATGCATGACAGTTTGGATACACTTTGTATATTTTTTCCATGAAGGTGATCCATGACGCCCACGGCTCACCTTGGTTCCATGACGTTTCGATGCCCACGGCTCGCCGGTTCGCCGTTCCGCGCCGTTCGGCGCCCGCAGGACAGTCAGGGCACCACCTTCATTTGCCGACGATGTCCTGCAGGTCGATCCCAGGTCCTGAGAGGGGAGAGGTTTGTCCGGTCATCGGTTGTGGTGTTTGGCCAAGGTTCAAGTCATGCATAGTAACTAAGTTTAGATATGTGATGATGGAGGTTGGGATAGTGATCTTCCTGCTACTTCACCAGTATGGGCCTTTGTTTGCTGCTAAGAAGAGTTGTCTATTCTTTTTTGGCAGGTGTCAGGCGCCTCGCTTTCATGCGACCTTTGCCCACTTGGAGAGTACCAAGATGAGACTGGCAGCATTTCATGCAAACGTTGTGGCTTCGGAGAGTATCAGAATGCCACGGGCCAGAGCAGCTGCACTCGGTGCCCCGCAGGTACAACCACACTGGGGATTCTTGGACCCAAAGTCTCGGAGCCGAACGGTCCGTCGATCCGTTCCTCGTTCCGTCGATACCATCGATAACCCCCATCCTGGCCCCATCGATACACCGAGGTTTCGTGCGCAGTCCATCAACGATTGCGGATGCAAAGAAGAGACCATCAACGTTCTTCCTGCAGCCTCCGGCAACATGTGGCTGAATAGTTTTGTGAGCTTTTGGACGTATAGTGAGGTTAGGCAGCTTTTACCGCAATGCTTTTTATTCCGGCATAATTCATCAAGAAATTGCAGAACTTGTAGAATTGGTTGGTTAGATCAAGATCACAGCGAAAAGGGTGAGTCCATTCTTTTTGCAGGACTTCCCTGTTGCAGACGAGGCCCTCCTCAGGAGTAGCTCCATAACTTGCTCCTTTCTCAGGTGTTTGCACAAGCCTTTTTGCACTTAAACATAAAGGAGACTTTAAAAACATAAACAGCCGAAAACATCATCAAAGGACACTGGTGTTCGCGTCAGCCGAATCTCGTCAGCGGCGTTTGTGGCGTTTGTGGCGTTTTCGGTGTTGGTCATTGCAGGTTCAACGTGAGAGAACGTCGGACGTTCGCCGAGGCAACTTCGAGTGCCAGCGATGTGGAGAAGGACTTCGTTGCCCTTTTGGCTCCAGCGTGGAAATGTTGAGGCAAGGCAGTGCTGACCTGGGTGATGACTATCTACCTCAAGTGGTGAAAGGCAGGGCCAGGTGGCAGCGCATCTGCAGTTTTTCAAGAGTTTGCTGTTCAGAAACGTCCGTATTTCTTGTGGCAAACCTGGTTTTCATATGTTTTTCAGGCTGTTGCCTCACATTTCAGTCAAAGATGTGATTGTATATATATATATATATATAGTTGATCGACAGTTTTTGAACAAAGAAGATAATCCTTCATACCCACACAAAGCGCTGCTTTCAGCTGAACTGCATGTGCCATTTCATGTGGCGCATTCGCCCCCCTTATGACCTTGCCCATTTCGAGGTTACGTGTCACGTTTGGAAGAGCCGTTGCAGATCTTTAAGTGTCGACCCGCCAGCTTCTGTTCGGGTGGAAAGCCAGGAGAGGCGAGTTTACTCACGCCACGGGTCGAGTGGTTTTGGCCGGTTTGAGGCCCAGTGGAGGTCCATCGTTGGAAGGTACGGCCGGTTTCAATAGCCTGCCCAGGAAAAGTTGATGACCTTGAACAGTTTTCTTTGTTTCCCCAAGTAAACATGAACAGATGGAACATTATTACTGGAGCTTCTATTTAATGGCCTTCGGCCAGGTCCGCCGCCCCGCCAAGCGTTTGGATTGTAAGAACAACGCCGTGGTTATGAACATAACAACAACAACCAAAACAAGAAGCAGAAGAAGAAGAAGAAGAACAACAACAACAAGAACAAGAACAACAAGAAGAAGAGCGGGGGAGGGGGGGTGAAGTCAGCGAAACGAAAATCCACGCCAAGGTCAACATTTTTACAAGCTATCTTTACAAGCAACTTTCCACAAGACGCGCCTCGCCTCTGCAAGTGGCAGAGGGTCGGCGGATTCCTCTATTATTTTCCAGGGAAACTGAAGGGGTCAGGTAGGTTTGGGTGTACCTGGGTATCTTGCTATTGATCCAATGTCCTACATGATGCACTGGCCAGTGCTTGATCAAGATCATTTTCCAGTGGCTACAAGTAGCTTCAACAACGGTATGACTTATATGACTATGTTCATGTGAAATCATGAAGATGCCCAGACAGTCCATTTATGGGGCATTTATCTCCGTTAACCCCTCCAACCACCCTGGTCGAAACATCGCATGTTTTTTCTCGGTCCGGGCGTCAGTCCCGTGCGGTCTCGGGATGGGTACCGGCCACCGAGAAGGAGAATGTGCTGGGGGGCTCTCCAGCATGCCTTGTGCTTCTTGCGAAGAGGGGAAGACTTGGAGTGGCACCAAGTGTGAGGACTGCGGCGCAAATGTGGTGGCATGGGCACTGGCCATGCCGGTAGCTTCTTTGAGATTTGGAGCATTACACCTGCAATGGCACTAAGGAACAGTTATTAGGTTATCTATAGTCAGTGGTCATGGTCAACTCGCGTGTCCTTTTATTGCTTTAAAGCCTTGAATTTCTTCACTTGCAGTCAATCGCAACAACTCCGGTTGTTTGGCTGGCCAAGGTAGCAGTCGCAGGTCTCATTGGTGCCTACAGTTTTGTGAACTCGGAAGTCATGGCCAGAGCTTCTGCCTTCCAGGCCAATCCTTGTGAATCTCCCATGACAAGAACCAACAGGACGTGACTGTTCGCCGCCTGATTGTTCACGTCTCTGTAGGGGGCCCAACCACAGGCCCATGCAGGCCCCTTGCTAGGGGAGATCCGATTTCAGGGATTTCGCCAACCTTTCATCAGATACTTCTTTTTCTGGGCAGGCTGCATCCAACGCACCTGTCTCACTCATGGCGCGTTTACATGGCTGACTTACGACATGGCGCCCACACCTGGCTCGCTTGCCGGTCGCCTGCCAGGCGTCCTTAATGGCGGCGGGTATCGCTGTGAATGTCTTTCAGAGCTTAGCAATTTTTGGGATGATGACCGTGCAGTGGACGCCCAACTTTGAAAGCCACTCGGGAAAAAGCGGTCAGCGCACGTGTCTTCCTGGGAGGTGCGGAAGTGCAAGCTTCCAGATTTCGGATGATATCCATGGTGCTGGAATATTACTTCCATGGATGGGTCATACATTCAGCAGCACATGTAACTATTCCAGTCCCATTGGTGGTTTGGGATATTTCAGATGATATATGATTTCTATCCTTCGGACGACTCATCGGACAGAACCAAAAAATCAATGACGCTCGTCGCGCGTGACTCGTCGTCAACACGTTGACCTCCGTGGCTCGTTGCGCTCAGAATGCGCGACGAGCCAGCCCGCGTCCGTGGGAGAAGCCTGAGGCACCAGCTCTAGGCTGAGTGTTTTCGTGATGGACATTGAGCTGCTGGGCCTGACGTGCGTGACCGGCCCGGAGAATTTCCTTCGCTTCCTCAGCGCAGCGTCAGCGTTCCCTGCCGCTTCACTGGTGCTGGTGACTTGCTGGGCCTTCACCACAGGTTGGAACACCATCTTCAAGCGTTCGAAGCTTCAGGTCGCTTGGAGGGTGATGACACGCCGCTTCGAGGTCGGAAGCCTTTGCTCCGTTTGGGGACGGGTGGAGACGTTTGGGGACGCTGGTGAGGCTCCAAATACTTCTCACGAGGTACTCGGAGAAGTATGCACTGTTGATGGCAAAATATGATAGTAAAACCACCAATCTGGAGATGTAAAAGCATTTTGAACACATTTTCTTTCAGCAACAGTCAACATTCAGCGTTTGTGTTGGATTTGTTGCAACTTCTGGTGGTACTTTTGGTCATTCCTGGCAATTCGTGGCACTTTGGGGTTGGCAGCCCAAGCCAGTGGCAGAGAAAAAATGGATCAAACACCGTGAGTCTGCCTATCTGCTAGATTGAACCCCCGAACGTCGTGATCTCTGGAGAACTCTGGTGAGGGGTGAGACAGTGGCTTCCTGGCCGTCTCGGCTTCCCGAAGGTCACACCATGGAGATTCTACAAAACGGCCAACACCATGGGCGTGATCCTTCAGGTCTCGCGTGATCAGACAGGGGCGCTTCCTGCTGGCGGTGTGCTGTGGATATTTTGCTAAACTGGCGGAGTCCACATTGACATGTTTTGTATATACTTATACAACAACAAACATACATTTAAACAAAATATATAATATACATATAACTATATGGTACACCATGATACCATATGCATTCATCTATACTTATTAGAGATAGAATTCAACATCACCAAAAACAAGGTCTTCCATGTTCTTCTTCATCTAACCGGTGCTTCGACAGGTTGGCTTCGGCGCCCTGGCGGCGTTGGCCTTACAACCTCTCATGTGCTACCGGCACCCCAACGGCCAATACAGCTTGTTGAAGTACCCGGACACTATTTGCGGAAGCGATGAGCATAAAGCCATGCTGGGTGTAGGAATTGTAGCTTCGCTGAGCAAAATAGGGTTCTTCTTGGTTGATTTGATTTGCATCTGCAGGAATTCTACACTCCGTTCGTAGACTTGACCTGAGGCCCTGCTGATCGTGTATGTGGTGGGTTTCTTCGTTTATTGCTGCTTTGGGGCTTGGAAACTACCTTCCTGGAGCTCGCAAGAGCGCAAAGATTTGGCACCTTGGCGCTTGTGCAGGGTATTTTGAGGCGATATAGTAGGGCAAGTCGGGGGTCTCGGGGGGAAGGCGATGTTCAAAACAACATCTCGCCAATCACAAGTCCCAAAGCCCAGGCACAAAGGCAAACACATATCAACTGGAGACTCATAAGACACAGCGGCGCAACAAGCCAAAACCGATGAGGCACAAAGTGCCATCAAGGCTGATGCCTTCACAGAGTAATTACCACGAAGCCTCCGTTCCGTCCAAGCGAGTACAACTAAGAGCCAAAGACCGGCGTTTTGTGCCAACAAGGCAGTCTCTGCCTTTACACAGTAATTACCAAGAAGTCGTTAGAAGAAACTGCTATAAAAGGAAAACCCGCTTCAGACACATCACTCCAAACATACCCTGGAGACCTCCCCCCCAATTTGGGAATGCGAGAAGGCCACGCGACAAGCGGAAGTGGCAACCAAAGGTCGCCCGAACCAAGTCTTACCAGAATATGAGCACAGGTAGAACTGCAAACTCTAAAGAACTTAAAGAACATAACGCACAAAAAGCAAACAACCAACAAGTTGACAAACCGAAGAGAAAACAAAGGAGATCTGAAACTGCCAGAGCGCAAAAACGCCCTGAGACCAGACGTTTGTATAGAATGGTAAGGAAGTGCTGTACTGTTCAGGGGGCCCCAGAGCAGCACTTCTCATGGGGCCCAAGAAGGCCAAAATAGACAGGCACACAGACCAAACCGATGGCAAGCACACCAAGACAGGTTCACTCACCATTGGCACTTTTACTGTAATTGCAAAGGTGCAAATCACATATCAGCATGGGAAAGGATAGTGTACATGATGAAAAAACATAAGATGGATGTACTATTATTCTTACAGGAAACGCATATCAACACAAACACAGAAGAAGTCCATGACAACTACATTTTCAATTTTTCCACCTCGATCACTGACCAACAACGCGAAGATGGGACAAAAGCTCGAGAGCAAGCACGGCAAAGCAAGGGAAGAGGAAGAAACAATGGCAAGAATGCGCTAGCTCTATACAACCTCGATGCTGAAAAACTGGGAACAGCTGTAGTCTATACCCATGAAGTCAACCAGGTCAAGCTAGATTTAGTCCAACATGACAACAGAAATATCACACTCTCTCTACGTAGCAAGGGAGGCCGGCTAAATATCACAGGAACACATGCCCCTCATGCTGCAAAACCACAGCAAGACAAAGAAAGCTATTACAAATTCCTCCGTAGCATTGCCAGAACATTTGGTAAACACAAGCAACACATAATAATAGTGGGGGGTTTTAATACCAAACTCTTGCGACGCCTTCCAGAAGAAAGTGAGCATATAGGCCCATGGATTTTCAACGAAAACGAGCTAGATATAGGAGACCTACCTGGCCCCCAGCTTGAAAACCGAGACATGTTCACCGAATTCTGCCTAGAAGAAGACTATGTCGTGGCTTCGACGTGGTTCCAAACATCAACTCAAAAGCTTATCACTTTTAGATATCCAACAGCCAAGACTTTTGACCCCCCCACTGACTCACACCAAATTCGCACAACTGGATTATATACTGATTAAAAAGCAGTGGCGAAACGCTTTACGCAACATTGATACAACGCCACACACAAGTATTGAATCCGATCACAAGCTGCTAACGGGAATGATCCAAATTAAACTAGCAACGAAAAGCACGCATAGAGCCCCGCAAATCCCAAAATATCGGACCCCCACTTCCGCGCAAAGAGTTCAATACAATGCCTACATTCACTTAAAGCTCAATTCAGAACGCATCACCAATCGACAGGGACCTCTGACACTACTGGCTCAAGTTTTAAAGGAATCGGCAAAGAAGAACCTGACCCAGATACCCCACCCTTTCTCTCAGCCGAAAATATCTAGATGGAACTAAGGTCCCACGAGGCAGTCGTGCAGTATACCTAGGATCGTTATTGACAGATACGGTGAGTAACACAGCAGAAATAGACAACAGAATTGCCATGACCATGACAACTTTCAGACAACTCAAGATCTTCTGGGACAAGGCGAATACCACTACAAATTGGAAACTGCGTGTGTTCAAAGCAATCATGCATTCAAAACTTATGTACAGCCTGGAAGTGATCCAACTCACTCAAAATGATCTAAACAAACTAGATGCTTTTCAGATGAAGGCACTGAGAAGAATTCTCAAAATACCATCCACTTTCATAGATAGAGCGCAAACCGACCAAGTCGTACTGCAAACAGCAAACACGCATGGAGTGTATGTTCAAAAACTCTCAGACTTTTGGAGGCAGAGGAAGATAAGTCTATTAGGCCACATTGTCCGAGCAGATGCAAACGATCCTCTCCGACAGGTCATTTTTGAAAACCAAACTTGCATCCCAAGAAAACCACCATATCGAAGGCAAGGGAGGCCGAGAGTGGACTGGCTAACTGAAACGGTGAAAGACACTTTCCATTGTCTCGGGCACAGCCCGCCCCAAGAGCCAAGCCTCCAAGACATACGAATGCTCCAAAATGCCGCCAGGAACCGAGCATATCCATTTTGAGAAAAACAAGAATCAATCATTCTCTGAAAAGAAGGGCGCTGCCCCATCAGCCTACGGGCTTACACAGTAATTATACTGCAAAGGACAAATGCCTTTCCCCGAGCCTCGTGTCACCTTATACTATGTCAACTTTTTTGAACCCGAACAAGGGAAAGCTTGTTGCGCTGCGCTCCGGCAAACTCCTTCTTGGCGCTAGGAAAAAAAGCACTTTGATTGGATGGCATTCCTATACTTTGCTCAACCCAGCGGCTTCTCCCAGCTGACAACTAAGCACTGACCCAAAAGGACCCACACACTTCTCTCCGATTTTCTTCCAAATGAACATCAATCTTCTACACCATGTAGCCGACCTCGGCGTTCTCTTCAATTTGGCCTGGCTGTTCGCTTACTCTGTTAAATGGAGTCCTTTTTTGTTGTTCCTTGCTTTTGTTGTTTTAATTTTCTGACAGTCTTTTGCTTTTCGAAAACAGGGGCACGGGAAGAGCGAAAGGTGTGCATGTACCAATGGCATGCAGGACATGAGCGTGGTGCCCCTGGATGACTTTTGTGCACACGGGGCCAGCAACCTGCCACTTTGGGACCATATGGGTGGGTGCAGCAAAATGGGGAGACTTCCCAAAGACTCTCTGGAAGAAGGAACATGGACCAAAACCCACTGGTTGGGGCACCCTATTAAAATGTACGAATATATACCATGTGTTGTTTTTGATGAAACCTTTTCTTGTTTGCACTTCACTTATACTTATACACGGCTTACCTTTTGTTTTTTAAAGTAGTTCGCTGATGTATCGACTGCTCCAGGTGAGAGCCTTCCTCTTCTTGATCTCCAAATTCAGACTTGATGTCTGGTGGTTTGGGCTCCTGTTGCTCCTCGGTCGCAAAAACCGAGGTCTTGTTCAACGTTCCAACTCGTTCCACCTTTGGTGTTCGGGGTTGATCCCTCCAAAATTCCTGAAAGGTGAACATCTTTCGGTGACTTTTCGCCAAAAAGGATGCAGTACTCCCTGCGGTTGGCCTCAAGATCGGAAGCTGAATCCATCCTTGACCGACTGACCCGACCAACTGTCCGTCATCGATAGGTATCCTTGTTCTGAGTCGAACGAAGAGGGATGTTCCCTTCAAACGTTGGGCGGCCACCGCGGTCCGAACCGGCCGAACATCCAGGGCGGTTCGCTCCCAGGGAAGCGAGCCGAAGTCTGTTTGGGGGAAGGGGTTTCCCCACAGCAAAAGCGTTCACCTTTCTTTCCCCCAAAGAAACTCTGGCCAGTGAGTTGCTCCTGTCACTCTGGTTCACACAGGCTGATTCGCGGCTTGGGCTTCAGCTTGGCCATTGTCCTTGCCATGGACTCGCCACAATTGCGGCCTGGCCGGCCAAGGGGGTCGGGGTTGTAGCTCAGACATGACGGGATGGGCAGTGGTTTGGGGCGTGGATCAGATGTGTGGCAGGATGGGTATGTGAGTGGACAAAGTCCAGGCTTTTGTTGAGGTTTCCTCATCAGCATCCACTCTGGGTGTTTTTGGATGGGAACTTGCAACCTGCAACGTTGCTTGGAAGCAGTGCTTCGTCTGTTTCCCGCGTCGATGTTGAAAGGCCATTTTAGGTCCGATACAGGGGGTGCGTTGAACATCTGCACTCTGGAGAAAACTCACCTCTTCCACTCCCAGTCCCATGTCGGTCGGGGAGGGAGTGTATAGCTGGATCACCTCAGGCAGGTTGCTGTCGCCAGCATCATCATGTCCGTCTACCTCTTCTTCCTGACCTTCGCACGACCTTGGAAGGCTCCGCTCATCAATGTAGCGGACATTGCCTTGTGCAACTTGGCCATCCGATGGACACCCCCTGTGACGCTCCACCTGTGACGTAGATGTCAGGATGTAGATGTCGACGTGCAATGTTTGGGAACCCTTTGGTGGGAGGACACCTAAACTGGAAGAGTTTCTGAACATTGATGTTTGTGTTGTCCGATATGTTTTCTGCTCTTGGGTTTAGCCCCTGTTTCTTGTCGGGTGCTTGTTCTCCTCAGGTGTAATCATCATCACCATCACCATCACCATCACCATCATCATCATCATCATCATCATCATCATCATCACAAGGCAGATCTCCTTTCACTGTCTCTTCTTTAAAAAAGGACATCATCTCATAAGTTTCCCAAGACGTACGTGATCACCAAGGCAATATCCTCATTCTGTTGGTCAATCAAGCGGTTCATCCCAGCAGCGCGGTCGACCTCCAGTTTGTTGATCATTTTTCCGCTGTGATCCTTGGCGGGAGAGAACGGACCGGGACCGCGGCTCCAAGAGGGCGGGACCGTCTCTTCTCGTTCAAAGGCGTACCGTCTCGTCCGTACGCAGGATGCGCATCCTGGTGGAGAAGTTCATGTTGCTCACAGACCTCCGTTAATAAAACAATATAAAACAGTATCTGTCGAAAGTCGACGTTTCTGGTCGACTGGCCCTGGCCAGTACACGACTGTTCGGGCCGATGAATCACCCACTGTTCGGGCGCGTAAAAGTGACTTAACTGACTTTTCCGAGGTGATTTCGGAAGGGAGCGACTCACAGATCATTTCAGAACCCCAAGATACACTACCTGGCAGGTGGCCTTGAGGGATTCATGAGATCACTGGGCTTACACGGGTCATGGCACCCGGGGCTGGCCTGCTTTTTTCTCGTAAGTTGACCTGGTGGTCAACCAAGGTCCCCCGGCCCGGTTTTGACCCACAACCACACTTATAAAGTCACATGTTGTGTCCCTTTGGATGGCTGTTGGTATTGGTCGTGTTCTTCACACCCGAGGATGGTGGTTTTGCTGATTACGATCTTGGTGATGACTGTGATGCTGTGCATCTTGGCACTGGTTCTTGGTCGGCTCTTTGGCAGAGGACTGCAAACAAACTCAAGAAACTGAGCACATAGGACCTCCCGATACCTCCCGCAGCTGCTCCCAGTTGGGTCCTGTATCTGGACGGATCACTCTCCACTGAAACAGCGCGGGGAGTTTGGTCCAAGAAACACATGGAAACAACTGGAAAGGCACATGAAGTCAAAGGAACTTATCTGTTCTATTGAGATTGACATTTACAGTATTTGGAACAATGAAATCAGTTAAACGTCCACAGATCTCCAGAAATATATTGGCGGTCCCGGCTCTTGAGCTGTTGTTTAACGCCCAAAAGGATTATAGGTATGTTCATTTTGTGGGACCGACGACAAGTTATGACCAATCATCCAATGATTCCCCCCTCCCATCCTTTCCAAACTCCAAACTCACATTCTCAGCGATGGTTGGTGAGACTTGCCGCTGGTGAGGAGATTTCTTACTGAATCTGGCTCGAGAGGGAGGTGAACGTGAGAAGATTGCCGCAGCACTGAGACTTGCCGAAGCACTGTGACGGTTCGGCCATCTTCTTGAAGGCAGCTGCTTCCGCTGCCGGCTGTTGCGGCTCAGGTAGACATTCATTGGGCAACTGTCTAAGCCTGTCTTGCAAGCCTGTCTTGCAGTTGTTTTGTCCATTGTCCAAATGTGTGTTGGCCGCCGTCGGAAAGTTTCTGATTTGTTTCGGCTGCCGAGGAAGGAATGTGCCCAAGAACTCTTGGCCGTTGAGGAGAAGGATCTGGCACAGGACCTCTTCAGCCCTTCCTTCACTCCAGTGGTATGACGTTCCTCCCGTTGAGTGAGGGTACTTTTTAGTTGAACACATACAGTTTCGATGCTTTTCAGGCTTCTCCGATCAAATTGGTGCTTCTTTCGATGTTCGCAGGCCTGGCGGATTTCTGCTCCTGCCCTCGGAAATCCGAGTCGAGAGGACCTGGGTTTGATGAACATTTACGACCTGAAAGCCCTCAAAGCGGCCATCCCTGCCGTCTTCGTGGCACCCGGGCCGCGGTTTTTCCGATCGTCGGTTGGCGTCGGTCGAGTCGTGTTGGGGGTAGGCGGGGAGTGGCGCGTGAAGAAACGCCGTGTGGATGTGTTGTTTGTTGCGAACGAAAACACGGAAACGCGGTTTCGGGAAGGATTGGGGCGTGAACATCGGTGATTCCGGGTGATTCCGAGGATGTGCTGGAAATATCCTCAAGTGCGTTGGCACCTCGTGTGGCCCTCTCCTCCACGAGGAATACGAGCTTTGGCTTTTGCGTTGTGTGGAAGTGAACTGGCACTAGAGGAACCAGGACGAGCAGTAAGGGAAAGTGCAAGATGAGTAAGCTGGGTCAGTGAAATTACTGAATTGTTTTGGACGGGGCTTCAGGATTGGTCGACACTTCCCAGCAAGGTGTTCTGAATGATTTTTTGATAATCAAGGTAAGGTCTATTGAAGTTGATCGAGAAGGTGCATGGACTGTCGAGATCTCAATAACATGCATTGGGTCCAACCTCATAATAACATGAATATTTGGATGTAGAAAAGGGACGAACAGGGAGAACGACCTGCATGGTAAAGGAAGCCGCAAAAAGAACCTTTTTGCTTGGAAAGTCTCCTATTCTGTAAGACACACATATATCTCCTCGTCGCAACCAGCAGGCTTGTCATATTGGATCTCTTCTCCAGTTCAGGGTTTTTGGGCAGAGAAGAGCCTCTTCGGTCCAAACTTCTGGACCCGGTGCGACCACCGTCGGTCCCGGCGCGGCTCGCCGCTGAGGATTCGCGCCATCGCAGCCTCCGAGCAGGTCGCCGCCGCGGTCCAGCAGGTTCCGCCCGTTCACCGCGCCTCCGAGGCTGATCCGTCGACCGGATCCGTCGGGGAAGGTGCGACCTGAAGCGATGAGTGAGGTCGGACTGGGAAGATGTGGGAATTGAATGGACTCTTTGAGACAGGACAAGGAGGAATGTGTGGTTTTGCTGAGATTGATGATTTTCCCGTTTTTTCTTTCCCAGAATGGGGAATATGTTTAAAATAGTGTATATAAATATAAATATAGATATATATTATATTTAATATATATTAATATTACTGTAGTTTTCCGGGTTCCTTCAGCAAAGATTAAAGTAAGATTGCCACATCCAACCGCAAGTTGGCTGATTCTGGTCCCGACTCTACGAGGTGTAGCGAAAGTGGTGCCAATATCCACCCCAATCAACGAGCAGAGCTTTTTTGCAGGAGCTTTTTACATATACATTTTATAGACTAGGCATCTCAGATGGTCAGGTCATGCAATTTCGCAGTGTGCGACTGGTGGTACAGGTTTGTGAAGTCCCTCATTAACTATCTCTATAGGTCGCAGTTGCCTTTGCTGGAAGCCTGTGTCTATGCGAGCGCAAAAGGTTTCATTTGATTCTTGGTTTCTTGGTTTCCTATCTTTGGCCGGCCGGCCTTGTCCCGCCTCAACTTGTTGTCGCGCAAAAATAGACCGCCTGGCGGTCACTCTGTATTCTGAATTAGGCTCCAAAGTGGTTTTAAACGAATTCTGAATTCTTCATACGCTTTCAAAAGGTATAGGATTCTAAAGGAACTTGCAGCAAGTTGGCTTTTCTGAACACCTTGGATCTGGCAGGTGGAGGTGACAGCGCCAGATGCAGCCACACCTCCCGCTGATGCAGAGACGGAGGTCTGGATGAAAAGGGGTATGCCAAGAAAGATTGCCTGAGCAGTTACAAGAGATCAGGGTCGGAGATTCATTGTTTGTTGACGGAGGCAACCCCAGGGCGCTCTTTGGCCAACATCTCGGGGCTGCACAGGTATATTTTCGAGGGTTGGAGCATCTGTGGAAAAGGCTTATCTCTCTATACCCAACCCCTGAGCAGATGCGGCAAGCAGATGCGGCTGGTAGCTGGTTAGGACGGAGGGCATGAATTCCGAGCCACGAGATGACCTACAGCCTTCGGCAGCCGATCGATGGCGGTGTTCGGCGGTTGGAGGAGGTTTTTGGCATGTCCGATCGACGTCCCAAGGGTGTGTGAGTGCTGTTCTGGCCAATCGTCTGGAAGAAACTCCGACCCTATAACGTACCCCCTAAATGCTGTGGTTAGTTCGCAGTTTGCCAGCTTCCTAAAACTTCTAAAATACTACTATTTGAATGAATATCTTTGAGTCAAGTGCCTGGGACAACCATCGGCCCATGGCAGGAGCTGGACACGGAGGTCCAGTTCATTGTTGCAGACCCGGAGCAGCCTGAGTCCATCGTGGCCACAAACCTGTAGATCTGCGCGTCTCATGAAAATCCTGAGCTGGAGCCACCTCGGTGTGTATTAAAAGAGGGAGACCTAAGAGACCCACCAGGCGTTCCGACCCAAGGGACATAGACTGAGACATACTTAGACCACCACATATCAGTCTACCCAGCCAGGGCCAGGGCGGCCAGGAGGGGGTCTCCTCGTCCGATCCGGTCCTGGTCCGGCTGTCGCCCGTGGCTGTTGCCCGTGAGAACGCTCGGAACAGCCCAGAGGTGAAGTGATTAGAAACAGGAGCCTACTGGGGCACCCTATGCGAGAGTCTAGAATAGGTGCTTCAACCTCTGTTGCGTCCTTTTTGAGCGCCTATCTTTGATCAAGCTTTGTACCCCTTGGCCTGGATGTACCTGGCTTTGCCTTTGCCGCAACATGGGTGAATGGAACACGAAGGGAGGAGTCCTGGAACTGTTCGGATGATGCTGGCTGCTTTGCGGTCACTGGGCGCGCCAACCGTCTGCTGCTCCAAACGGAGCAGCAGACTGCCCTGTCCGAAGAAAGCGCGCGACCTGCTGGTCAGGACCTGCAGAGTATGTGGCCGAACTGGCTTATCCAGGGTATGTCTGGCTTGTGCCAGTCTGGTCCAGGTCGTTTTGGGGTTCTAATCATTTGAGTTTCCAGATGCATCACACTGACGAGCCTCTTCCTAAAGAACCCCCCCCCACGACCACACTGGTTGAAACTTTGTCGGGACCCCAACTGTGGCCGAATCTCAAGAGCAAAGGGATTCATCATCTCATACACCAGGAGATTAACATATAGTCAAATCTGAATTAGAAAGATTAATCCAGGTAAGGGATTATCAGTGAGATTAATCTCACAGGGAAGGGATGAATCTCATAGTCATCATTTACTAGCGCGCGGGGCGATGAGCGACGGAGGTTCTTCCATTTTGGCCGAAGGGCGAGTTTGGGGCTGTGATCCCGCAGTAGTGTATTGGTGAGCAAAAGGGGCTGCCTATCAGACAGCCTCACTTTAATATTTTTGCTCACCAGGATACAAAAAGACATCCAGCAGTAGTATAATATATATATATATATATACAACCTGACAAATCTTCTACAAACGGCAGCATATTTGTGAGGCAGATCGACCCTGACCCTTCAAGTTCAGCGTTCCAGCCTTCTCTAGAGAACTCTGCATGCCGCATGGTTTATTTGTTTTGAATTGTTTTGAGCAATTTGGTGGCCCTGACGGAACTTGGCACAGGATGAAGATTATACCGACCCAGTTGGTGGGTTACCGCTCTTCTTGTTGGGGATTGGTGTTCCTTACGACATACGTAAGTGCTGGTATCAAACAAGTGGAGAGAGACCCATTCTCGATGTCCCCAAAAAGCAAGGGATCAACACGAAACCATCATGACTCATTCGGGTGCCGCCTTTGCTGATGCGTGCTTTCTTTTGAATCCATGCCCGAAGGGCAGAGAGAACTGTTTGCACTGCGTGGCGGTGATTTAAGTTGGGCGTCAAGCAAGCCGCGTTTGGCGTGGAACTTCAACTTATAAACTTGCTTTACATTATCACGCATGAGCTGGATGCTGGGAGCCTTTTCTGATTCCTATTTGCACTTGGTCCATAGTCCATAGTGATTTGGGTGGGAGTCCAGCGCCATTTGGAGATGCATTCAGATCACAGGAGGATGGGGCAACGGTGCCCGCCCTGCCTGGGACCTTGTTGCCTGGCGAAAAGCCACGCAGGATGCATGGAACCACCTGCAGCTATGGCAGCATGATATGATGGGTTTCAATCATGTGACATTTGCACAAAACACACTTGCGGCATCTTGGAGCTTTAAATAATCCCGGCAAGAGACCCCAAACAGTGTGAGAGGTCTATAAGCAGAAAGTCTAGAGATCTAGACGCATTGGGGTCCAGAGAGGTGATGGTGGTGATGAAGGTGGGGATCGTGGAGACGGTGGCGGTGGTGGTGAGTGAGTGTGAGTGTGCGTGAGAGTGAGAGGGAGAGGGAGAGTGAGAGTGAGGGTGTGGGAGTGAGTGAGAGTGAGAGTGGGAGAGTGAGTGAGTGTGAGTGTGAGTGAGAGTGAGAGTGAGAGTGAGAGTGAGAGGGAGAGGGAGAGTGAGAGTGAGAGTGGGAGAGTGAGTGAGAGTGAGAGTGAGAGTGGCTGTGAGTGAGAGTGAGTGTGGATGAGAGTGAGGGTGAGTGAGAGTGAGTGAGTGCGAGTGTGAGTGAGAGTGAGTGTGAGTGTGAATGTGAGTGTGAGTGTGAGCGTGTGTGAGTGAGTGAGAGTGAGGGTGAGACTGAGAGTGAGAGAGTGAGAGAGTGAGCATCTGGGAGCACAAAGTGCTGCGCCTGCGCCGAAATCTGCACTTCCAGGTTCACCAAGTGCTGCGCCTGCCACGAAATCTGCACTTCGAGGTTCACCATGTGCTGTGCCTGCTGCGAAATCTGCAACACAAAGTGCTGTGCCCGCCACGAAATCTGCACTTCGAGGTTCACCAAGTGCTGTGCCTGCCACGAAATCTGCACTTCGAGGCTCACCAAGTCACAATTCAATGCAGACGATCACCACCATGTCCAAAGTGCCACGAAAACTGCATTCCGAAGTAAAACACGAGGTTCCCCTTGCGCCTGCCACGAAAAGCGCCACAACGAGAGCGCAGTCGCTAGAAGCACCCGCCGCCGGCAGGCAGATTTTGTGAGCCTTCGCTTCGAGGAGAGGCATGTACTGTAAATCTGTAATAGTAGCGAATTGCAGTAGCCGGACACGCCCGAGCGGCACAGCGATCTAAGCACAGCTGCTTTTCCACCACCGTAAGAACCCCTTAAAGCCTTAGTGTGTCCACACTGTTTGGGGAAAAACCCGCCCTGTTTTGCTCAGAAGTTGCTCCTGTAGTTGCTCCCAGGAAACCCCAGAATGCCATGGCTCGGAGCGGTTGAGCACGCGGTCCGGTTGAGCCCGAAAAAGAGCCGCTTCCCAGGGGGGCTGGAGAACCGGGGAGAGTTCGGCCCCATCAAAACCCGGATGAAAACAGATCTTAAGCGCCCTCTGTTCGCCGGACAGTCGCTGAGTTCAGAGGTTTTGGATGGTGAACTTGGATGCATCTCAGCGAGCAGTGTGTCTCCAAACTCTGTGTTCCGTTCAGCTTCGATCAACAGTTTGAAATCCAGATTCAAACCTCAGCCGTTCGAGCAAGGCAGGTGAAATCATAAAAGCTCAGAGGGAACCAACTGAGTTGGTTCTGGCTTAGCCAAGAAAGATAGAGGTCTGGGGTCAACGCAGTCAACCTCCATCAACCAAGCCCTTTCCGATGTGAACTAAACATGGACCAATCTGGAGTAGACCCACCAGGAGCTCCGTTCAACGAGCCACGCCTCAGATGTAGTGTTTGGTGCAGGAAACCACTGTATATATGTGGCTGTGGGTCCAAACCTGGAGCCCCGCCGGAGCCCGGTCAGGTCTCCAGGTTTGGACCGGGCTCGAAACGGATACCTTTGGCGAGCTTGGCCATTTGTGAGGATGGGGCTGCAAACCACCGGATTGACAGGGGAGAGACGAAAGATCAATGGGTGCAGGTCCATATCTTGGGGTAGGTCAGGTCCTCCCAAAAAACAATCAGATTCAGATCCTGGATGTATTTTGGCATTTGGCTAGCAGCTTCTAACCATCCAAAGATACGAACATACTTGAAGTTCGGCCACCACCGGTGTTCACGTCAAGGCTTGGGGACCTGCCTTTACCCACCGCGACGTGGAAGAGACGCGGAGACCATCCATGTTGGGTTTATTTTTTCCGACCGAAGGCATGAGCCTTGCTGGACATTCCACAAGGCAAGTTGACTCATGTCAGGCATCCGTATCAGTATATATACTCAATGTGTCGTGGTCAACCATGAAGCCTGTTGTGCGACCTCGGGCAGTATCCGGACCTTTTGGGTGAGTGAGCAAGAGAATAGATGGAATTTGCATAGATCATGTTTCGCTGATTTGTTGTGGTTCAGTTCCAAAATTCTTGGTTTTGCTTGTATGGTGATGCTTATTTTCCCACCCAAAAATATATTTGTTCCCCGTGCCTTCAGCACAGGTGTCGAGGTTCCGTGTCCACGATGGACAGGGACCGTCCGACCCTCCGTCGAAAAAGGGGGCCGTCAGTGGTTTGGCCCAGCCGAGTTCGGTGGGTTTGGAGCCCAGTGGTTCCAAACTCTTTGGAGCTCCGTTGGCCTGCTATCCATCCTTTTTCTCCACCGGTTGACCGTTTCGGCCAAAAAGACCTGTGACATCTTGTGACCGATTTTGTGAGTTTCGTGCGGTTGTGACTGTATACATTTTAGTAATTCTACCGAGGGCCTCTGGTTTGGGGTGGTGATTTGACACCCCTTAACCTCCTTCCAGGGCAGACGCCTAGACACAGGCGTCCTGGTAATTCAGATTTGGGTAATTCAGATTTGGGGGCTCCCGATTCGGACGAATCCTGGGGAGAGGTTCACACCGTTCGCGCCGAAGGCTTTGGCTCTATCAGGTGTTTGTTCTCCGGTCTCCGACTGCCCACAGCTTCGAACAGGTCGTACCAAGGGGGGGCGACTCAAGAAGGTATATGCCATATGGGTATGAGTCACTCAAGCAGGCGTAAGGCGTAACCAGGCGCCAAGCTCGCTTCATCCTATCCACCTCTCGCAGCTTGTACCTTTGTCAGAACTCTTAGCTCAATTCAATTCCCCAAGACTGTTTTGGGCGATCCTCATATCAACCACGGGAAGACTCAGCCGTTCATCCAACCGGGGGTTGGACTTCCAGTCCGTCCGACGTCGCCCTGAGAATTCGAGAACTGCACGGATGCCATGGTCGTGCCTAGCCTATAGGAGCCCGCCCGGGGCCTCAAGACGAGCGAGACATGAACGGACGAGCAGCGAGTAGTGAGCGAGTTGAAATTTCAACACCTGGTAGTGGGTAGTGAGGGATTGGAACCTAGACATTGTGATTTGAATCTCATGTGATCTCGTATTTAGCTAGAACCCAGTTGACCACACTACAAAATGTGATCATTTCATAAACCTTGGAGCCGGTCACGTCTCACAAGTGCCACTTAGCGCCGCGCCGCGAGAAACCTCAAAAAAAAACAGACGCACCCCAGAACACCCCAAGAAGAAACCGACGGGGGGCAACAACCACACACCGACCTAAAGCGTCGAGCCGCCGCGCCCCCAAAAGGATTCACCAAGGGCCAAAAACCAAGTGCGGACCCGATATGGAGGAAAAAACGGAAAGGTTGAACCAGCAAAATGACTCCTGACTCCCATCTCTTCAAGCAATGCGTGAAGAGCTTTTTGAGCCCCCAAGAATCAGCATGGACATTTGCCGGTGGCACACAGATCTTCATCTGGGTCCAAAAGCCCTTCACCTCATTGTTTGCAGGCCCCAACCGGTTGTAGGTGCAAAGTTGAGCTACTTAAAACATGCCCTACTAACTGAGAAAAGGTTTTGTTTCCAAAGCCCCACCTCAGACCTCGAGAGATCTCCGTCCCAGTCCACCATGTAGCCACCAACTCCATTACCCGGATGTTAACGAGGATGGCCTTGACTGATGGAATCCCAACAGTTTGCTCTGACGGTCACTTCAGGATCAGGTTTGTCTCCCTGGCTCCAAATCTGGCCGCTTCCTCAGCCTCAAGCGTTGCAGCCAA